CCAAAGGAGTAGGAACAGTGAGAAGGATAGGGAAAGGGGAATAAGGGAAAAGGAAAAAAATATGAGAAAATGTATAAATGGAATTAAAGTGTTTGAAGGTGGGGAGGAGGGGGTGAAGGCAGGGTGGGGACAAGGGGAAAAAATGAGAACCAAGACCTGGCATGTAAAGGTACAAGATCCCAGTAATGAATGTAACTGTACTGTCTACCTAGAATGTATCAATAAATTCAATTTAAAAGAAAAAAAAAAGAACTATGAAACTAAACAAGTGATTCAAAGGAAGATCAACAAATTTAGGGGAAAATTAACAAGATCAATAGGCTGTGATAACATATTTACTTTTTCCTCTATTAAACGAGACAAGTCACACAGGTAAGGCATTCAAATTTCTATCTGGCATTTTTTTACACTTTATATACTAAGAATTCCTAATAATGAGTTGGTAGAATTTGCCTTAAGTTTGTAGATCAAACTCTTACGTCTCTGACCAGCAACATCATCTTTATATAAATCATCTTTAAATTTTGGTAAAAAATCCCCACAATTTACATATACATATGTACATAAGAATATAAACATGGAACTTAGACTTTTCAGTTATACTCCTTTTACCAGAAAAAAAATGCTCCCTTATACATCAGACAAATAAGATTATACTTCTGATGATTAATTAATTTGTGTTATAGAAATTATATAGAAGTTTGTATTTCTACAGAAAAAAGATACAGGGGCCAGGTATTTAGCTCAGTGGTGCCACACCTGCCTCACTAATGCAAGATCCCAAGTTCAATCCCTGGTACCAGAAAAAAAAAAAAAAAAAAAAAAAAAAAAAAAAAAAAAAAAAAAAAAAAAAAAAAAAAAAAAAAAAAAAAAAAAAAAAAAAAAAAAAAAAACAGGTACAGGCATAAGAATTCCTTAACTCAGTCAAAGAATAAATAGAGGATATACTCAAGGGAGGAAGTCAGCAACTAAGGAAAGGGCAGAAATCCTTCAGAATCAAAACTTATATTAAACTTGGAGGCTGAAGTTGATCAGACAGAGCTTTGGCAACGGAACCCACAGACAGACAGACTGACTCACAGACAGTTTGACAACTGCCAACATGAATGTTGGAAGGGTTGTCAAAGAGCCAAAGGCTGGGATTACTACCCAGTGCTTGGCACTATGATATTCATATTTGAAGCGTTATCTCTTACACTTCATCCAATATTTTTGTTTGGTGCAAAAGTAGCAAGGATTCACAGATTTTTTTAGATCATTAAATGTTCTTATTTTCAAGAAATATAACAGTTGTAAAAGAGTACTCTTTTTCTCTGAAGTGTAAAGAAAATTTTGATGAATTTTGTTACATTCATATAGAAATATCAGTGTTAAAAGTCTTTAAATTTTAATAGGTTATTCAATCTGAAAAATAAAAAAATACATATTCATAATATGAGAGAATTCAATATTTCATTGTATTATAAACTCTTTACAGAGTTGGTCCTTTGTATGGATCTACTTTTTTGATCTTCATATGGCTTTTGAGGCTCTATCTAAATAAAAGTCATACCTAGGGAGAAGTACAATAATGACAAAGTTTGGCTATAAGAAGAGGTAGTTGCTCAACTCTCCTTGAGGTATGAAGACAGAAGGGGAGAATAACCTTTCTGAGGGACTAGAGATGTGTGTACCTGTTTCTCAAGGCAATATCCACTTAATTTACTTGGTGAGTCATTGGCTAATAAGGTTTCTGATTTCAGGGCTAAAACTTAGGAAAATTCTGTCATTAGGTAACTCATCTGACATTAGGCAAATTCCACATCAGGAATTTTTACTCAGCTTAATAATGTGTATATCTTATGGGAAAAGCTTACCTTTGGGTCTCTAAGGAACAGAGCCTTAAGAATCAGTGAGTGTATATCCCCGATGACTGGGTAATGCATCAGAAGGCCAAGACAGGTCTGGTAGTTACTAGAGATCACTAAATGAGAGAGGAAAAGTAATTCAGATACAATACTGCTTAAGATATTTTTTATTACTGAAAATACAAAAATAACTTTCAGTCAAAGAAAATTAACTAATAATGCAACTGCTTTGATAAAATAAGGTGGAGAAATTCTTACCAAATGGCTTTTGAAGCAGCATAATGCACAGTAAACTACAATCTAATACACTAGTACTTATCTTTGGGGGATGTTGGAAGGAAGAGCTTCAGATAAAATTATGTATGTACTTTTTTGTGATATAAATATCGAAAGCAAGCATATTTATTGTCATTTACATGGCTATGTTTAAGTGTCTTCTGTTTTTCTGCTTAGAAATTATTAACAAAATCCTTATGAACGGGAAAGAACCAATTCTTTCTTATAATATTTACCTTGATTGTGCTTAACAATCTGGTTAACTTATACAGATAATAACGCAAAATTAAAGAAAATATAATTTCTTCCAATTATCTGTCTTTTTAAAGATAATAAAGAATTTATAAAGAGAGTATCTATAAAGAATTTCTTGGAGAAAAATCAAAGTCTTTATAGATAGGTCTGTGTTCCATAGACTGTCACTTAATTTTTTTCAAGTCAACCCAACTATGAATGCAATTATTAAACACATCTTTTTAGGCAAGTCTATGTAAAATACTTTATTTCTTGGCAATCAACCTGCCACTCCTGTCACAGTTGGTCCCATTAGTGCTGCTTGTTTTGTGAGCCATCCCAAATGCCTCACAGCATTGATTATGGAGGTACTTTCAGTAGCAACTTCTTGTAGTAATAACTGAACCTTTTTATTTTATTTATTTCTTCATTGAGTTTATTGGTACATTTTAGGTATACAGTACAGTTACATTCATCATTGGTGAATCTTTTTTATTAATAGTTACCTGAATAATGTTCCACAGGAAAAAAACTAATTAAAAAAAACCAATGCAAATCAAAACATAAATAATTATTTGTAATCAGAAATATCCCTGACTCTTACGATCCAACCCCACCCCTTGTTTCCCTTGAGCAATATGGAGAAGAGAGACAGGACTGGGCAAAATGAGTAATTATAATCTATGTAAAGAATCACTTTATCATCTTCATTTCTGTTGATCTGATGGCTTCTAATTTCATAATCTGCTTTAATTTGTAAAGCACTTACTTATTCTACACTTCTGTTCAGACACTTATTGGTTCATTTTTCCATATTCACACTGTAACCTGTTGTTCTTTTTTTTTTCTCTAGACATCTATAAACTAGGATAGAATGGTACGCTGTTTTCACGTACAGTTTTCTTTGAAAACTAATTTATCACATAACTCAAAAAGTAATCTTCCAAAATACTATAGTGACAATATATATTAACACTCAGCCAAGAAGAATTCTTAAATGTTTTTAAAGAGGAGTTAAAGAGTTTTGTGGATAGAGTTCTGGCCTCGGTGCTGTAAGAAATGGGTATGAATTCCACAACCCCATTTGAACCTTTCAAAAAATTGCCGAAAATGGTATCAATGATGAGACTGATTTATAGCAGCTGTTGAAAATCTGTTTGGAAAACCTTTGCGAGCTTCAGTTTACTCTTTTGGAAAACAACTTTCTGATTTTAAAAATCTGTCTGTTTCATTCAATCCAATAATTATTTACTGAGTACCTATTTCATGACAAGCTCTAAGAGAAGATGTAGAGATGAACAAAATAAAGTCTCTAATCTGAAGAAAATCAGAGTACAGAAGGGCAGAGATACTATATTAAGCAGCTTTACTACCATTTCCACTAAGATGAGAATGAATTACTGAAGGCCTCTAGAGGCAGGTCCTAGGCTAAGAAGTTTATCTATACTGTCTCATTTAATTTCTGTGACAGTCTTATAAAGGTACAATTATCATTCATATTTTACAGATGAGACAGTTGATACTTGGAGGGATGAAGTCATTCACTCAAACATTCAGTGATTTCTGTTGGAGTAGGATTTGAAATTGAGAAATTTAGCTTCACAGTATGTTCTCTATATGTACAAGGTTTTTTTTTTGAAAGGACACCGTTTATCAAACCAAGAAACATAAAGGATGCAAATGTCAGCAGTAGAGTCATTTTGTATTATTATTATTTTGTGGCAGTTTAAAGTAGCTTAGAAGGTTAGTATAACCCAGTATATAGAACAGCCTGATGTAGACAGAAATTTATTTGGAGGGACCAGAGCAACAATATTATGTTATTAAATATGTGAATTTAGGCAAGCTGATTATTTATCCCAACACTTTTTCTTTCCATTTACAAAACAGAGACTGTGAAAGCTGTCAGTATGAAAATGGAGTCATGTCACACTGTAACAAACTGCAGTTGAAAGGGCCCAAAGAAGGACCCTCTTGCATGTCTGCCTGTAACAGGAAATTCCAGTAAGAATTTTCCCAAAAAGAACTTTCCAGTTAAGCCACTTCTATGAAGACTCTCTGATCAACAGTAAGTTCTACCGAAGAACAAGCACCACCTTTGCTCAGTCCTGTAGCCAAGGTCTTTGTTTCAAAACAGTCTAAATGGACTTCCTTTTTTTGCCTTTAAAAGCTTCCCCTTGTCACAATCCCTTTGATGCTACAGTCTGCTGTAGCATGCATATTCCAGGTTGCAGTACTTGTTATTTTTGAATAACCTCTATTTTGGGAGAGTCAGTCTTTTTACTGCTCATGTTTGGTTGACAAAACAGTAATGCTTACTCTACCCTACAATTTCTGTGAAGGTGACAGATGCTAGGTAATTAATTTCCTTAAGTTGATTAAATCTTTGTTGGTGAGTATTCCTATCTCTACGTATGAGGCCTACACCTACTCTGAAGTAGTCCAAGGGAGTTAGTTTAATAGTTTCCTCAGTAGAAACAATTTAAAACACACAGTAAAATAAGTTTAAATAAGCAGAGAATATGACTGGAGAAAGTTTAAAGTAATGTTAGTTAAAAATAAATATTGCTATCACTTATTCAGCACCTATAGCAGTAACCATGATCTTTTTGGAGACGAGTTCCCAAACTGCAACCCAAAACCCACTTGCTTATTATAAAGTGACAATATTGTAAATAAAACTAAATTCTGAGGTTTTAGCTTATAAAAAACAACTCATACATCAATATCTTTTGTCTTAAAAGAAAAACAAACAACTTGGATGACAAAGGTTCACCAATAACTTCCTTGAGACTCAAGACCTATATATACTCATCAGGCTTGGGTAAGTGTTTATTTCTCTAGAGTTTGTTCAGAATGATACAGGACTTTCATTTTCAGGAAAGAGGACAATTTAAAATTCAGAATGATGCATTTTTGGTTCAAAAAAGATTTCAGAAATGGTATTCTTACTGCTTTTAAGCTTAATACACTTTAGAAAGACTATTTTAATCAAAGATCCAAAAGGCTGTATGTTTTTAGACAGGGTCTCCCTATATAATTCAGGCTGTTTTAGAACTTACTATGTAGCTCAGGCAGGCCTTGGACTTGTGGTGATCCTCTTGCCTTAGCTTCCCAAGTGCAGGGATTACAAATGTGCATCACCACACCCTGCTAGAAATTGTATCTTTAAATAAACAGTGTTGCCGACTATAGGTCAGTAAATAACTAAGCATCCAAGTAGACAATTTCCAACTGTTAGGGGGTTGAGTGTAAGAACATGAATACTGTATAAGAAAAGTCAGAGTGATAGTGTGTAGCTCCAGGGATGCCACTGGCAGCAGCTTTGGAATTGAAAGCTAGTAAGCACACAGGCTTCAGTTTTCTCTACCTTCTCTATCTCATTATCTAGAGGGAATAAAATGAGATAATTTAATACAAAAAACAAGGTCTTTTAATGTAAGTTGCAGGCATATTCTCAGAGTCAGAGCCTATGATGGTTAAACTTAACTGTCAATTTGATTGGCTTAAGAGGTACCTAGGTGATCAGTAAAGCACAATTCTGGGTGTGTCTGAGTTGGTCATGAGGGTATGATCTTGGGTACTGTTTCTGGTCTCTCGTCCCTTTCCTTCACTTCTCTTCTCCTGTGTTTTGCTCCCTGCTGCCATGAAGTAAGCAGCTTGCTTTACCACACCCCTTCCACTATGATATAATTGCCTTGGAGCCAGCCGATCCTGGACTAAACCCTCTGAAACTATGCATAAAATTAAAACTCTCCTCAAATTGTGGTTATCAAATATATTGTTCCAGTGAAAGGAAATGTGATCAATATAGAGCCCAAGTTCTACTACTGTAAAATGTCATGGAAATGAAGCCACATTTGGTGGACATTAAGATTTTAAGGACAAAAAAAAAAAACCCAGATAAGCTTGATTCATAGATTTGCCTCTATTTCAGTTCAAATGAAAGAAAACCAGAGGTCAAGAATGTTAAATTTGAATATAGATACATTTTTAATTGGGGGTAGTGTGTTTTGTGTGCATGTTTGTGAATTCATGGCCTTGCATATGTGCAGCCAAATTTTTGCACTGAGCTACATCCTCAGAACTTTTTTATTTTAAGATAAGGTCTTGATAAACTGCCTTAATGAAACAGTTTATTTGGAATGCTAAGGCTAGCAAATGTCCACTTTTGTCCATTTACTGAGCATGGCCTAAACTCATCTAATTAGTGCTGGCCTCCTGTTAACTCTACCCAATCGTGTTCTGGGTCCTCTTTTCCTCCTGCTACTCTCTTCCCTTTTACCCCTTTTATGAGGAACACTGTCTTTCTTTCCCTCTAAGCCTAGTCCTCCAGGACTAACTGTTGCCCTTGCAACCTCCACAGGTAAGGTGAAGACCACTCTGATACCTTATTTGCTTCCAAACCATGGATTGCTTCCTATCTTGCTTTGCCTTTGAAGTTCATACTGTGCATCTAGACATTCTTCATGTCTCTCCAACACTATTATCTCAGTACCATGATTTCTGGGAAGTACTAGAGATTCAATACTGTTTGAATGTTTGGTTCTTTGAATAAATGATAAACTGTCATTAATAAATAATAAATAAAAGTTATTTTCTTGTTGACTGTTCTGTACTTCTTCAAGGTTTTGGTGTTTGGTGCTCATAGCTTTAGATTTAATTTTAAAAACAACAGGTATTTGTTAGTTAAAAGCACAAGAGTAAATGTGATTTTCCTAAAAAGACTGGCCTAATTTGAAACACATATTTCAGTCAATTTCCTTTTATTTCACCTGACTGCTGAGCACAGGTGGAAAAAAACCCTAACCATAGCAGTTATACTAGGCTTGTTCTACCCTTGTTACCCATATTTGCCAAGCTTCCCAAGCCCCTGGTCCTAGACTTTCCATTCTCTGTTACTGTCTCTGAGTGCTTGTTTCCTCAGCTATCTCACTGAAAAAACATTTGCTTAAAGGTTTCATATGAGGGTGGGGATTTAGCTCAGTGATGCTGCCACTTGACTCGCAAGTGCAAGGTCCCGAGTTTGATCCCCTGTACCAAAAAAGGTTTCATATGCAAATGCCCTGGCATATACAGTACGGAAACCAAAACAGGAAATTCTTAACTCTAGATGGAGAGAGAAGGAAGGCAGAGCAGGTGTGAAGAATAGAACAATAAAGAAGTAAAAAGTATAAAACAAACAAGATAATTTCTCTGTTTATAGATCTCAGTCAGGAGATCCCCTCAGAATAGGAGGGAAAAACTAGAACTGGCTCTTAAAGGAGAAACAGATTGATTTGAGAAGTAAACCTCTTCATTAGTTCTCTACTAGTTCCAACATACACTAGTCTCATTCCAAAGACAATCACCCAACCTTCTTTGCCCCAGAATTTATCCTGTAGCTACATCTTTGTTCCCTAGTCTTTTCTACATATTTAAACATTACAAAAAAAAAAAGATGGATCATCCTTTTAGTTGAATAAGTAATACTCATGTAAAACAACAATAAAGAGCTAAAGAAAAGCTTCTGAATTTCCTGTCAAGTCACTCTTTAATCTTCTATAATCTAGGTTCTGCATAAATCATTTCATTAAGTTGACTCTGGCAAAGGACAATTCAATCATGGTTCCTCCATAGTATCCACTCTGAGTGGATTTTTCTAGCTTTATTTACCCCTTCTTGGCTCAGACCACACAGTCTTGAGGTTACACTACAAGCAGTTCTTTGGCTTTTCCTTTTCCAATGTTTTTGAAGTGCTGAGAAAAACTTTGAGCCCCACCTTTGCCCACATTCTGTTTCTGCATATATCCACCTTAGTCAGATAGACCATATAAATTTTATGATCTTAATGCTATGCTTCTGTAATGAAAGTGGGCAGTATTAATGATTACTACTCTAGGGGAGCACATGCAAACTAAGGCTATTCTAAACAAACTAGGTGGTATCATCTTGTTCTTAGATTACATTTACTCTTACACTGTTAACTAAGAAATATCTGTTGTTTGTAAAATTAAATCTGTAACTATGAGGATATTGACATTGAGTTTTATTTTCCAAATCTTCAGGCTATGATTTCTTACTGGTATATCAAATTTAGCATGACCAAAACTCAATCATCTCTAGATCTAAAACCTGCTAATCCTTACATTTTCTATAAGGAAACCACTTAAGGCTGCAAATAAATGACTGTTCTAGATGCCCCATTCTCCCTCTTCTATAATATTTAAACATCACATCATGCTTAAAACTAAAGTCATGCTGTTTTTAGCTCTGAATGTTGTTCTAATCCACTATTTTTCCTCTGGAAAAATAAACTTTCATAAACTTACCTGATTTTCTCACACGAGTCTTGTCTCCTTCGAGCTCATTTTCCATACTACTGCTACAGTGATCTAACAGTAGTCACACCTCTGCTTTAAACCTTGCAATAATTCCCTATCAATTTCAGGTTATAGACTTTCATCATGATTCCACCTGTTCACTTCTTCAGGATTATAACCTCCCTCCCTCCCTTTGCACTCTGTTACTACCTAGTATCTGATATCTTCACACACACACACACACACACACACACACACACACACACCTCCCTCTTAAGGGGCTTCTCACTTTCAGACCTTTGTCTATGCTATTACTTCTGCATGGAATGGAGATCCCTTTATTTGGTTTATTGATACCTATAACATTATTTCTACTCACTCACAACTGGTCCAGATGGAGCTCAATATCTCTCCCTCAGTCTCTCTCTCTCTCTCTCTCTCTGAATATCTGACCTCTCAACCAAACAATACATACATTTGTTTGAAATTATTTACATCACTCTTCCCTACTAGTTGGTAAGCTCCTTTAGGTCAAGGGCCTAACCTTAAATATCTGAGAAATATTAACTCTACTTTAGGAGATATACTTTAATGGATTTAACCAAAATTAAAATGAATAAACAACTTTATTACTTCTGCACATTTCCACATGTGCCCATATTTATAAAACCATCACTGGAAAGATTAAAAATGTGTAAGGACTTCTGCTGCCAAACTTTGCCATGTTTTATGAAATTAAAAGAATTGATCTTATTATAGATGGCAGGATGATTAAATTAGATAGTTATGGAGGATATGCCAAAGTAGTGAAAAGAGCAAATTATTAATTGTTTAAGATCAGAAAATCAGAATACATTTCAATAGTTTGACTTGCAAAGTATTGCGAAAGTATTATTAAAAAACAAATTTTTTTTTCCTAAAAAGATATTTCTTATGCTCTTTTTTTTCTTTTTTTTTGAGACAGTGTTTCATTAAGTCACTTAGGCTGGGCTAGAACTTGGGCTTCTCCTTAATCGGTCTCCCAGAGTGCTAGAATTGCAGATGGCAGGTTTTCTTTTGTTTTTTATTAGTTACAATTAAAAATAAAAACTTTAAAAAACTATTTAAAAATCTGGTATTGAATATCCAAAAATCCAGTATCTATTCACATCTACCCAAACATCTTTCTCTATTTTCCAGATGTCTTCTCATTATTTCCATGTTCCTGTATGTTTAGCTTTGGCTCTGAAAAGGAACTTTCACTTTGTCAAAACCCAAACTATTCGACCTCTGAGGCACTAGGAAAAAAAAAACCTTACAGTTTTTGATAAAATGTGGTGTTCTTGTTGTTTATTTATTCCAAGTAATTTGGAGGCAATTAAAAAATATAATCTAAAATTTTAAAGAATATTAGTGTTACTAGAAGCATAACAAGAACATCTGGCACAACTGGTATTCAATGAACAAATAAAGATACCCATGCAGCGATTTAACAGTAATGATTAAGAATGGCTCCAAATAGTATATGGTTTTCTGGCAAAATACTACTTTTAGAATAGTTTTGTATTTCCTCATTCAATCACAGCACTTGGTGAAATCTTTCCTAATTATATTTTGGCTTACAATCTTGTTTTGTGAACTGTGATTATTTTTCTGAGAAGGAAAATAATTTGAGGCATTCTGAAATTTAAAACGTGCTCTGATACGTTCTTCAAACTGAAAATAATTAGAGCATTAGAAAGAGGTACATACTAGCTTTCTGGTTAAGGTGAATATCCTAAGGTAAAACTGAGGAGATGTGAACACATATACCATTAGACTAGACTGAGTGATAAATTTGATTAACTAGGAGGAAGTCAAATACCTCCCCCCAACATTTATATATATTTTTTAATTTGACAAGGCATTGATACTATAAAAACAGCTCCAGTCTCGCAATAAATATCCATGAATATTCAGTATATATCAGAAGGTGGAGCTCTAAACATATCTGAAAGGCTGGCTTTTAGTAAGCATTTCACAAATGTGTATAATGATATTAAAGCAAGTATAAAGCCTTTAGACATGGTTTTTTAAAAATTTCAATTCTTTCAAGATAAAATCACCCACATTTCCTAAAATTATTTGCTAAAAGAAAAGATATTTAACATTTTCCTTTAAATTTTAATATATTTTTTCTACTATAAAAATTTAGGTATATGTGAATCAGACAATAAAATAAAATATATTGATAACACAAAACATTTTTAAAAAATAAGGACTGCCTAGCTAAATATAGGCAAAGACATTAGGACTTACAAGCATCTCGGATGTAGAGTAGCATGGCTATGAAGATATAGTCAACCAAACTCAGGCTAAGGCCATCTGCAAACAAGGCATCCCAAACCACCAGCAGATCCTGCAGAGGGAATTCTCTTCCAAACAGTAGCCGTACCCACCGTCTGCAGAGAAACAAAACCAAAATTGAGAAAATAATATTTCTGAGAGTAGCATGAATAATCATTTTCTCATGCAACTGAAAAAACTATAATTTATTAATTTAGCAGAGAAATATTACATACCAAAATATATTACCGTGAATGTATTAGTTTTGAACAAATACTATATATCAAAAATATATTAAAATCTAATATTTAAGTGTTCAGATTAGTTTTTACAATTCTATATCAGATTATAATCATTAAATTTTATTTCTATGTGATAAAACATATGCTTGAAATGTGTAGATTTTTCATATTTAATTGAAATCACAAATCCTCAAAAAGGAAATGGAGAACAAATATGTAGTAGGTTAGTAGGTACTCATATGTAAGATTATGAGTTAAATATACAATTTTCTAAAATTTCATGGTCTTTTCATTGATCTATGAATTTTTTAACTTAATCCTTCACAAACATTTAAATGACAAATAAATATAGCCAAATGTAGAAAGCTGAATTCTCACATTTCACTTACCTAAAATATTCACTTAAAAATTAAATATGGGGAAAATCAGCACTGTAGATATTTATTTTTAAGTCAAATGAATACAGTTATTTAAAAAATATAGTGATGCTGAATTTCTTAGCTTGAGATAGATAAATATATCTCTCACCTGCAAGGTTTCTTTCTAGAGGTGCTTTTCATGTTCATTTTATGGCCAGGTAAATAAATATGCCACAGAGAAGACATCAGCAATAAGAATACTAAATAACATTTGTGTATTAATAACATTTGTGTCATAAATAGTGACACCTCAGAATTTTAATAAATGCTTACTAAGCCAGTTATATCTAATGTTTACAAGAAAATAATTTGGTTTGATTTATTGTATCTACTAATTATATATAGTACGGATACAACTGTCTTACATAAGTCTCTAGGAACTTACACTAGAATTCTGTGTGATTGTAGTATATAACAAATAATTAAAAATTCTAAATTCCTAGTACTACCAAATACTGAACAGAAGAAATTATTTAAAAATCTGTAAAGAGATAATACTTTTTTGCAAAATTTGAAATCAAATATAACCATCTGTGGGGTTAAAAGAACAATAAGATACTTTGCTCTGGAAGTATAATATTTAAGCAAGAACCAAAGCTGTGATAAAACAGTGTATAATCACATTTATATCACAGTTTACGTGAAGTCATGTGATCAAATATTTGTTTTATTCATATAATCCAATTAATCAACAGAAAAATTAGATTATATTTTTAACTGCATCCATTACTTGTTTTTCAGGAAAAATTAAAATGCTTAGGTAAGATTTATCCTTTAAAATGTTATAGTAATGTGTATAATTTTTATCTGCCTTTGGAATGCACTGCTAAATTGTTTCATATTCCACTGCTAAAACAAGGGGTGACTAACACAAAATTTATATATATATTTTCTAATATGCCTATTTATATAACTTAGGAAAAATTACTTCTCCACACACTTCTAATTTACTCAAGTTACAAAGACTAATATTTACTATTCAAAAAAGAAAAAAACCTCTACATTAAACAGGCTACTATTCTTAATTAGAAAGAATGAACCGGTTTTGTAACAAGTATCAGGAGGACCAGAGATGGACAAAACCGAAAAAGTAAATGGATTAAGCCATTCTAGGTATCCATATATATAGAATCTGTGAAAACAATGTACAAATATTTCAGGAAAAGTATGATATTTTTCAGCACATGATATTACCCTTATATGGGGGATCCTTACAGGATGTTATGCATCACAGAAAACCCGCTACACTGCTGTATCTTAGAGAAGAAACTGAAAATGCATGTGCAGAAATCTCAATGACCAAGGTTACCCAAGCACCAGTTGGCCATATGAATAAATGTCTGGAAGCTAATGGACACCATGTCGAGCAACTCTTGTAATTGTAGAGGTCAAAGGTAAGTTTTATTAAGCTCATGACATATTAATAAATTTATTATTAAAATATTTATACAAGTTTTTATTTTCCTGAAGTGTGTACATTTTGGTGGATATGTTATATATATGAATGAAATATATTTTCTATATTTATATATGTCTATAATAACTATATATCTCTAGCTCTATCAATCTCTGCATTCTTAAATGATTAAAACATTTAGAATGCGGTTACCATAGTCATTCATTTAACAACAGGAAGAACACTCTACCAGTGAAAAAAATAAATGAAGGCTAATAAAAAACCACAAATGAGAACACAAGTCTTCCTTACAGCCCAAGTTCTTCTCATTTTGTTGCAGAAAATCGTATCTTTACTTTCATCACAGATACTGATCCAAGAGCAAAAAGTAAACCAAGTATTTTTAGAAATAATTTCTATGCCTATTATTTTCATAGCAAAATGTCCAGTTATTGTTCAAACCTCTTAAAATCTTCCTGCCAATTAGGGTTGTATTAACTTAGCTTTCAAAGCGATCCCCCCAGATACATGTCTGCAGCAATTTTCACCACAGTTTTGCTGGGAGGGCTAACTGAAATTCTAGTAATTGACACTAAATAAAATATTTCTGTTGTTTTCTGTGTCAAATCGTTCACATATTTAATATATTCAAAACTGCACAAAATGCAAGTCTTAAGTATTTTATACTTAATGTATAATCTATACATGCTATTTTAGAAATGTTTCACATTTTTTTCACTCTTGAAGTTTTACCTTGCCAAATACATTGCTAAATAATTCCAGGGTGAGACCAAATTGTGTGTGTGGTGGAGGGAATCTAGAAAGTTCTTTGTGATGAGCTCTATATACCTCCCTAAGTGCTGTATGTGTTGCTTACCACAAGTGCTTGTTAAATGCTCTGTAAATCCACTTGTCACGCTACTGAGAAGCAAAGGTATAGCTTAAGTGGGGGAAGTAAAGGAATTAATTTTGCTGAAGGCAGTGCAAACACAATTCAGAAAATGGGGAGAACCCAGGAATACACTAGAAAAATAACTTATTATAGGTAACTAGCATGTTACTTTCATATAACACAGTTAAAATTTGTACAAGAAAGGACACTAAAGTAATATACAGTTTCTTTTATTTAATGTGCAATTATAGAAAAATTAAGGACAAACTCAAAATATTTAAGAAGAATCATACAACTTGAGGTATGCTATGGAACCAACAATGACCTTTTCAATAATCTCTTTTACTACAGTTAGCTTTAGTTCATACATTACAACACACAAAGTATCTTGGGCTGTTTGGAGCTTTCATCATTGAGCTTAAAAACCAAGAAAAAATTTAATCATTATAATTACTCACAAACAAATTATTTCAGTAAGCTTTCGTATTCTAGAAAAAATTACTTTAAGAAATGAAGTCTTATAAAGAAGTCATTCTTACGATTAACATGCTCTTAATATAGTTAAAAATATTTAGTGAGAGTTTAAGTTATACTTAAGGATAACATTAAACCTTTCTTTTACTCTTAAATATAGCTTCCATTTAATTGCTGATACTACTAACCTTGCTTTATGTTACACGTGCAGACTGTAGTGCTCATATATTTTATTAGTTGTCATTACACAATAATTCATATTTTACCAGACTGACTTATTAATTAGAATCTAAACAAAAAACTACCTAAGGTATTAAATTTAACTATGAACCACTAACAGGCAGGACAGCTTCTATATTTGCACTTATACCATTATTGTCAATTTTAAAATTCTGTGTAATAAAGCTGCTATTTCTAGGGGATTAGTAACTACTAATAGTTTTATTGCTTGGTGAATGATCCATAGAAATACTAAGAAAAATCAATTTTTACCAATAAGAAAATCATGAACTTGAAGTTTAAATAAATACAGTCAAGCCAACATAGCTATAGTGGGCTAAATAAGGAGAAAAAAATTTAAATCTTAAATCTTCATTTCTTTTTTTTTAAATGACCTTTCAGTGAGATGTGAATACAGCAACCTTACAAAAATAAATAATGTAGAAAAGCTCTATTTAACAAACATCACAAGGACATTTCAAGTAACCTGTGATCACAAAATAATAATGCTGGGTAAGCATTTTGGAACCACAAAAGAAATGTTATATTTTTGCTCAGTGATATTAATTTTGGGTTATGCTTTCTGTTCACTTGTACTTTTCAAAGCTAGCAATTAATTTTTAGATAGTCTATCTTTGATATGGAATAAACACAGAGGCCAAATTCTGTTTAGTAAAAAGAAAAAAACAAAAGAAAATCAAAAATATTTCTCTGAGGTTGTTACCTTCTTGACTGAGTTTAGGATTTTTTGGTGTACTCCTTCTTTTGAAGTTAATTTATCCTGAGTATTCCTTTACATCAGTTCTGTTGTCTTAGAACCAGAACCACATATTATAATTAGTATAACTAGGGTCAAATTCTAACATCTTCAGAAAGCAAAGCAAAATAAGATGGAAGGCAAAATAAATACTTTTCATTTAATCTCATACTTCTTAACTCTTGTCAGGGTTCTGCAGAATACATTACTGGAAGATGCTTAACCTGTTCATTAAAATTTTAAATCTAGTCAAACTTCATTACTGTGGAGGCTGAGGCAGAAGAACTGTTTAGGAGTCCGAGGCCAGCCTGGGCTATGTAGTAGAACAGCAATGACAAAAGAAAAAGGATCTGCATGCCATATGGAAAGATTTGAATCCTTCAAGCCCATTAAACTGATTCAAAAATAGGATGATCAGAAACTATAAATAAGTGATCGTGTTTGAAGAACTCAAATTTACTTTTAAAGTGGCCCTTGTAATCCATGAGTTGAACCTGGCTTGAATTTGGCTTTCTGAGAACCTAATTTAACACTCATGGCATATGCACTTGAACAGTTGAAAATTTTTGATTTGGGGAAAAATTCTGTGTTCCTTTCAGAGGGTGGTTACAGTCTCTTATAAAGGATGGTTTCTTATTCCAAAAATAAGTTCCTAATAATTATTACCCATTCCATTTAGGTTCACTGGCAAGATTTGAAGCTATTTTGTCAAAACTA